ACTGACATGCTACCCTGCACCAAACTCTCAAACCTCATACGGCTCTCCTCCTGTACACTCCAAGGGATGAAACGACCCTCGAAGGCACTAGCAAACTCACTCCACTCCATGGGAGGAGATCCCGCTGGTCTCGAACTCATGAAGGTCCTCAGCCACTCTCTAGCGACACCGCGTAACTGAAGGGACACAAATCGGACGCCCCTCTCACCTAACATGCGTACCGCCGCCAATATCTCTCGACTCAAGGTCAAAAACTCGTGAGCATCATCGGTCTTAGCACCATGAAACTGAGGTGGTTTCATTTTCTGAAACCTCTCATAGCAGACCTGGTCATCATCTGCCAAGGCCACCTCAAGGGCTGCCGGTACACCTACAACAGGTGTTGGAACCTGTGGTGGCTGAACCACCGGCTCTGGAACCACTGGAATCTGATGCTGATAACCAGGGGCCTGTGCCCCTACCCCAGCCTGTAACCCCGCTGGTATACCTGCTGCACCCTGAGTAAGACGCTCCAATAACCCCAACATCCTGTCGAGTCTGTCATCATGAACTGGGGGTGCATGGCCCGCAGGAGCCTGCTCTGCAGCTACTCCAATCTGTGGCTCAGGTGAAGGCTCTCTACCTCGGCCTCGGGCAGGTGCCGCTCCTCTGGCACGGCCTCGACCACGTCCTCGGCCTCTAGCCCGACCTCTACCCCTAGCTGGGGCCTCAACTCTGACCTCGGGGGCTGCCTCCCCCCTAACTCCGGTAGCTCTAGTCCTCGGCATCTTCCAAAAACATCACGCGATACTCAGCACCCACGATAACAACCTCGCACGATAAGAACAGAATGAAAAAAAAGAAGTCTTTCCTAACAGTCTTCATAGCCTCTCGAAGATAAGTACAGACGTCTCCGTACCGATCCTCGAGATTCTACTAAGACTTGGTTTGTACATGTGAGACCTTCGAACCTGGGCTCCGATACCATTTTTGTCACACCCCAAAACCAGATGTGATGGCACGTGCCCAAACCCCACCGGACACGTCAGCCTAACACCCAAAAACCCGACGATACAGAATTTATAAACAAGAATAAGATAGAAAGATAAGCGGAAGTCTTTAAATAAACTCAACATAACCCTAGAATTGGTTGTCACATGTACAAACCTCTAAATACGGAATTTGAATAAAAATATACAAGTCTCAGAGTATAGTTCTCGAATAGAACAAAATTGAAAGTAAAGATAACTCAAGGGCACGTCTGGAATGAACCGCTACCTCTCAAGTAAGTCTGGAAGCTCTAATCTGAAGATGAGTAATAAGCCGGATCTGATAGAGCTGTCAACCTACACAACTGTGTAGAAGCAAGGGTGAGTACCAAAAGCAATAGGTACTCGCAAGTAACACTAAACTAAGCTAAACTAGCAGCTACAAACAACTTCTTTCAATCCCAACCGAACCACCGAAACTTCAATCTAGCAGCAAACCAACCAACCTATACTAAACAGATCATATTCAACAGCCAGAACCAACAGTATATCCTCATCAACCTCAGATCAACAAATAAGAGCAAGTAGATCAAATTTCACATAAGAAGGGTAAACCGATACAATCCACACATCACAGACAAAGATAAGGCAAATGCGATGCAAAATGCAATAATGATGTCATGTAGTCGTGATGCATGTTTGTCCTACGATACACATCTGTTGACGTAATCAGTCCGCGTTGAATACTCAAATCAGAACCCACGGGGGCCGCACATGGACCATGTATCACCGCCGGAACCAGATCCCATCGGCATCCAAATTGCTAGCCGGAGCTAGTCCATCTCATATATCTCTAGCCGGAGCTAGTCTCAACTGTGTCTCATATCCATCCATCCTCATATCAGTGTCTCAGAACTCATGCAACAGATAGTTCACACATGGGATGAATAATGAATATGCACATGTCATCAATCACAATCATATCACGATCACATCATAGTATTACACATCATCTGTTTCAACATCAATGTCTGTATCAATCATAGCCTACTCATGCTCTTCTATCCCCTCAATATGAGTTATCACATGACTTATTCAACAAATTCAAGTCACATATAACACATTTAGCTCGTTTTATTCCCCATCTTTCATTTACAACAATTTCAATCAACAAATAAAACCCATCCTCAATCCCCCTTACTCCCCAACACAATTAGGAAAGTAGTCATGCGTAGTCTAAGAGTTTTACAAAGTTTGGAAGCCACTTGCCTTAAAACGAACTCCAAAAGTTACTTGACTTGAGCCCTTTCCTTTCTGAGTATAATCCGGATCACGATAATCTATTCAAACAATTATTCACAATCACAATTCGAGTCCAATGACACCAAAATCAAGAAATTTAGGGAAAAAGGGCAAAACGGTCCAAATGTCTCATACCGGAAAACGATACCCAAATTTGGAAATTTTTTATGTAAAATGATCCTTAAAGTATTTGGAAGCTAATGGTGAAAACCAATTTGAAAACGGAGTTGAAATCAATTCACAAACTCAATTTGAAGGAAAATCCACGTTCTTGAAGAAGCCTAAATTATTCGGATCCGAAACCCCGACTCGAAAATGAAATATTTCTTGAAAAACATCTTACCCATGCTTAGATAAGTTCAAATATGAAATTTCATCAAAAACGGAGTTAAGATCGACCTTGAAATTCTCAATTTATCAAACTTTAACTTTACCGGGAAAGTCCAAATTGTACGCGGTTAATATGATGAAAATAATCGATGAATCAATAATTTTATGTTAAAATCAGTTTACCCATAACATAAGGATCGTAAATATACCTTTTTCATCAAAAAGGGAGTCCAAATCGATAAAACTCCAATTTTTCCCAAGAGGTTTACGGATAGGGAAAATAAAACCAGATAAAGAAATTATGAGAAAATGTCGAATTGAAGATTGAATACTAACCCTCATATTAATTCAAGAAGAAACCCGTAAGAATCACTCCATTCCGATCTCTAGAACTCCCGATATGCTCAAAATACCAAATGAACACAGTCTGAGATTTTTATAACAGTGCATGACTGTTATGCACCAGAAAAACAGCAGTTAATCTTTCACTAAAAAGGCCGTAATTTCCTCATACGATAGTGAAATGACCCGATTCTTTTTTGTAAATGTCTTAAATAATGATACGGACCTGCTCGTTCAATCGGAGCTCAATTTCATGCTCGTTTGCCCAGTCAAATATCATTTCTACTCGGTAAACAATTATTTCTTATTTGCGATAAAAGTCCAATCTCGGGTTAGCGAAAATGCACCAAAATTTGCAGATAAGTCCTATAATTCATGCTCAAAATTCCAGAACCTTCGGAATAATTTTTCGACCCTTAAAACTAGTAATGAACCCTTTAGTTGCCACAATTTGCTGAAATAGTGTCAAAGCATCCAAGAAGCTTAAAAGCTCACCCAAAACTCATTTGGCACTTCCCGAACACAAACCAAATATGCTACTAGCTTGAAAATGACATTTCGGACTCGATGAAATCGTTGGAATTTGAATTCGAGGTCTCCTTGACCCGGTATCCGATAAGGCGTCAAGAAACTAACTTTAGGCTCAAAAACTCGAAACGAACTTGGGGCCTCTAAAAATTCAACCAAGACTCATTCTAGACTTAGAATCACCCCCTGAATCCAACGGTGCCCTCGGAATTCCATTTCGAGCACCGGAACCTCGTTTGTTGACCAAAGTCAACTCTTGATCAAAATTTCACAATTTTTGCAACTTAGGACCTCAAATCTTCGTTTTAACTCCAAATTCGACTCCGTAAATTCTCATAGACCCGTTTCAACATTCTAAAACTGCTGGAATCGACGGAAATCCGATTCGAGTCTCGAAACTCCAAATGACTCGAAATAGCACTTTTAACCAAACTTTAACTCTTAAAAACTCAACTTTCCAAAAACTCAACTTTTCATCAATTTTCCTCCAAACCAACTTCGAAAATACAACCATTAGGACTCGGGGCAACTATCGGGAGGGGTAAAACGGTCATTTTATGAAAATTTCCAAAAATGACCTTTAGGGTCATTACACTGCGCTACATCTTCTCGTGATGTAAGTTCAGGTCCTCAACAGTTAGATCACGCATAGATCGGTTCACGATCTTCAGTTCAGCAGTATCAGTGGTGAGTCCTCATTTCTTCGAGGACTAGTGACATATTTATCTTTCTTGCTTTAACTTTAGTTTCAGTTTTGCTAGATCTAGATGGGGTATGTCTCAGCATTTCTAGTCAGTAGAGGCTTTATTTCAGACATAGTTAACTTCAGCTTTAGTCGTAGAGTTTGACTTTTCACCTGTATTCAAACTCTCATTTTTTCTTATATTCAGACAATATATTGGTATTCCCTATCATTTTAGATTTTCATATGATTTAGCTTCCGCATAGTTTTATTGCTCAGTTTATCTTTAGTATGTTTATGATTATGCCAGCAGGGTTAACTTGGGGTCACTCGTGATCTTAGGTCCCGTGTCCGCGTTCGGGGGTTGCCTCGGGGTGTGACACTAAGAGTAGTAAAGCTTGATCGGGATAGGGCCCCAACCTAACTTAACCTATGTACAACAAATTCTAATGAACCACCAAACTCTGGAAGCTATGAAAGTAATGAAACTCAGTTGTATTACTGTGGAGGTCTATCAAGTCGTTTGTCGGGACCTATAGACATGAATGCAGCGCTCCTGACAATGGGGCATCAATACGAAATAATGTACTGTGTATGAAAGGCAATAGACTAAATGAGCAAGTATCATAATATACTGAAAGTAATCAAGTAAGGAAATCAAGACTAACATAAGCATATTGACCTGCTGCTCCTGAATCCAAACATACAAAAATAATTTTAAAAAACAACCTAACCAAGCCCTCATAAGCTCGGCCAGGGGTGGATTTACATGGAGGTTAGGGGGGTCACCCGACCCCCCTCGTCGAAAAATTACACCATATATATAAGGCCAAATTCTATTTTTATGTGTGTAAATATTAAAATGAACCCCCTAAACACATGTAAAGAGGCTAGCTCAGTGGTAAAGGGGGTTCAAGAATCCACTTCGACGTCATGGGTTTGATTCTGCGCAACAACACTTTCCTAAATTTTTTCTTGTTTTCTTCATTTGGAAAATCAAATAGCAAGGCTGAGATGGGCTCAACATTTTTGAGCTGGAGCTTTATTGGTTTTTTTTTCTTCATTTTTTAATGATATTTCTCCTTTTCAATATTCATTTTTTCGAATTTCTAAGGCACATTATTTTCATTTTTGTATTTTATTATTTTTGTCTCCATTGCTCATTTTATTTTTACGTAACTCTCTTTTTATATACTAATTCAAAGGAACTTTTTAAAAACTATCAATTATTCTTAAACTTGAAATTGAGATAGAGAAAAAAACTTTAAAGATAAGTTAAACTTAATCGAACGAATAAATTTGAAAGACATGATTATTCATCATATTTCTTTCTCATTTTTTCAGTTCTATTCTAGAGAGACGTAAACTACATTGATATGATTTATTCATTTTTTTTTACCGATGGAAAACCTTATAAATTGAATAAATGAACAAAAAATTGGCGATGCCATTTATTTATCCTTTTAATATGCATTATAATATTAGTAACTCAATCCCCACACATTTTAAAGAGTATTAAACAATTTTTAAAGTAAACATATGATTGAATGAACGCTAATTTAATTTATTTTAAAAATTCAAAATAAAGTAAAATAATAAAAAATTAAAGAAAAAAATCATTTAAAAAAAAAAAGAATCAATGAAGCATAGTAAAAGTAGGAAGAAACGCTAAATGCAGCATGACAAGGCAAGTTATATTTAATGGATTAAGGATAAATTTTTTCTTTCCCGATCCGTTTTGCTCCATTTTCTTATTTACTTCTTATAAGTTGAACCCCCTCCACGAAAATTCTGGCTCCGCCATTGAGCTCGGTAGGTACAAACAACAAACAAGACCACCTACATAGTATCTCATAAGTCCAGAAGGTTCCAATTCAATCTATATATGTCCCCTAGCCCAGTAAACAGTCACATAACCCTCTTAGGCATCAATATAGCACAGTAGGCAAAGATTATATAGCCCTATCAAGCAATAACATAGCCCCATAGTCAAAGATAACATAATCCTCTTAAGCAACAACATAGCTCCGCATACAAACATCACATAACCCTCTTAGGCAACAACATTGCCCCATAGGCAAAGATCATATAACCCCTCCTAGGCAACAACATTGCCCCGCAGGGAAATGTCACATAACCATCTTAGGCAACAACATGCCCCATATGCAAACATCATATAGCCCCTCATAGGCATCA